GAAAGATCAGTGGAAATGCAAAGAGATGTCACATGAATGCAGTTTTCCACTTAGCACATCCTGAGCTAAGAACTGCTTCTAGCACCTATCTCAGAATAATTGGAACATGATTAAAACTACACACATGCTGAAGTGCAGGCTAGATCGGTGCCTGAAGGCAACAGTGCAGCTCTTCTCCACTCTGCGATTGTTACAATCAATTTTTACTGTGTAGTGTTTCAGAAAACCATCAGCAATATTCTCTTGAAATCAATCATTAAAGGATATAGATAAGTTCAATAACCATAATAGCGTGGTTTAATAAAGAAAATTACATTAGACACATTTCCACCATATTATATAAGCTTTAATTCATTTTTGAGAAGGTATTTGCAGCAGCCCAGAAATGATGAGGCAAATGCTCTGGAAATAAGATGGAGAGGTACAGATAGAATTGCTTCTACTGCTGAGAACTTTATGGAAGTTTATTGCTAATGGGCCATGTGCCAGGATCAAACATCATCTGCATTTAGAGTACAATGTTTACAAGGAATACTCAATGATCAGTGCTTCCCAGGCTGTCACCCACCTACCATGTTTTAGCATATATAGCCCGCACTCATGTATAACCCTCACTCATGTATACTCTGTGGTTTTTCTTTGCTGTGTGAAAAAAAAACTTAGATTACCTGCGGACATGTATAACCCACGTGTTCTATAGGCTAATTCATGGTTAATTGCACATACCAGGATAAACTGCCAATGTCCTGCATTCCACCCATCTTTTGTTAGGTAGCCATCCTGCTGCCAGCGGGGGGAATGGAGAGCACAGTGCAGGCAAGCTGGCCAGCCTGCAGGAGGGGAGCTGTACTCATGCCCAGGCCCTACACAGCCACAGGCAGGTGCAACCCACCTCCTCCGGGCGGGGGAATGGAGAGCACAGCACAGGCGTGCTGGAAGCTCATCAGGCTCTCCCTCCAGCGGAGCAGAGCTGACCCAATTCTAAAGGGGCAGAGCTGCTTATGAGTAAAAATAAACTTGTATATCCCATGGACATGTATACCCCATGGAGGGGGCAGGGAGTGGGGTTTGTAATAAAGTGTAAAACCCGCAGGTTATATACGCTAATTTACGGTATACTTCTCCTACTAATTCCTCCCTATTTGTGACCAGCAGGTAAAGCTGTTCATGGCCCCTTCTCGGTTCCTTCAGTCCTGGTACCAGGAAGTTGTCCCCAACATACTTCAAAAACTTCCTGGGTTGTCTGTGTACTGCTGTATTGGTAAAGGTCATAGCTGGGCTGCATTTATGATTTTATCAGTTATAGGTACATCATGAGGTTTCTATGTCCTTCAGTTCTTTCTTTCCTTTTTCCCCTTCATTCATTTAATATTTCTTTCTTGTACAATTCACACACATTTACCTCTTTAGTGTTATTCTCTTTTTCATATTTCACTCTTTTGGTTTGAATTACCCAAACTTCTCTTTAGCATGAATCCTGTAACCATTATATTACCGTCAGTATTTCAATATGCAAATACCATGGTAAAGTCATAATCCACAATACTCTGAGACAAATGCTATGTATATCAAACATGGTAACAAGGCCATGGAGAGACTAGAACTTGCACATGGAAATGCTCCTGACTGTCAGTTGTTCATGAACAAGTGCCATGTTGTGTCGACTTTAAAGATTTATCTTATAGAATTTTGTGTTAAATTCCAATATCTAGAGGATACTTTTTCCCTTTTACCTTGAGATCTTTCCTAGTCTATCAGAGTACATTGATAGCACTGTAATATTTGTTATATGATAGTATTTACTTTAAATAATCACTGATGTGCATATTTTTTATATCTACACAGTTTCAGAGGCTGCTAGAAAGTGTGGGAGACCACCTGCTATTATTAATGGAGATATCAAGATCCTTCCACAGAAGGAATATGAATCCGGTTCAAGAGTGGAATACAGATGCCAAAGTTTTCATAGAATGAGGGGATCTGCATTTGTTAGCTGTGAGTCTGGTCAATGGACAGATCCACCAGTTTGCTTAGGTGGGTTCAAGAATCTATGATATGGAAAAGAACTGTGAGTTATTCAATTGATATTTTTCATATTATGGGCCCAGTTCTGGAGTCATGTATACTGGAGTAATTCCAAATTAATTTCACAAATTGGAATGGAATAACTTCTGATTTACACAAGATATGTGTGGGGAAAGCTCACATTCTTTATAGGAAAAACTTTAAAAACAACGAATAGTCTAGCAGCACCTTAAAGACCAACAAAACATGTAGATAGTGTCATGAGCTTTTGTGGGCACAACCCACTTCTTCAGAGGAATGGAGTTAATAAGGGTCCAGTTCCAAAATAAATAGGGGATGGGGCGGGGAAGAAGGAAAAGAGAGAAAAGAAATAGTCAATGAGGGTATGTCTACATTCCCCCCCTAGTTCGAACTAGGGGGAGTAATGTAGTCATACGGAGTTGCAAATGAAGCCCGGGATTTGAATTGCCCGGGCTTCATTTGCAACTCCGTATGACTACATTACTCCCCCTAGTTCGAACTAGGGGGAGTAATGTAGTCATACGGAGTTGCAAATGAAGCCCGGGATTTGAATTTCTCGGGCTTCATTTGCATAAAGCCGGCCGGCGCCATTTTAAATGCCGGCTAGTTCGGACCCCGTGCCGCGCGGCTACACGCGGCACGGACTAGCTAGTTCGGATTAGGAAGCCTAATCCGAACTAGCTAGTCCGTGCCGCGTGTAGCCGCGCGGCACGGGGTCCGAACTAGCCGGCATTTAAAATGGCGCCGGCCGGCTTTATGCAAATGAAGCCCGGGATTTGAATTGCCCGGGCTTCATTTGCAACTCCGTATGACTACATTACTCCCCCTAGTTCGAACTAGGGGAGTAGCGTAGACATACCCTTAGAGTGTTAATGCCATATGAAACTGATAAAGAAGGGGCAAATTGTTCTTAAGTACCCATTGCTTAGTTTTTTAAGTCATTAGGATGGGGATGGCAGTGTGCTAGCCAGGTAATATCTTTGTTCATACCTTTGTGATGGGTCCCAAACCTGTAAATGAAGTTAAGTTCTAAGACTTCCCTATGTATTTGGCTTGTGGAATTGGCATGACACAACAGGGAGTCTTTGTTCATACCTTTGATACCATTTACATATTTTGTTTGTCTTTAAGGTGTGCTGTTTGTTGTTTTTTTAAGTTATTTCAGTTACAGACTAACACAGCTACTCCTCTGATTCTTCATAGGGACATTTAATACAGATTTTTTAAAAAGAAAACATGGGTAAATGGCAAGCATCCACACCATAATAAGTACTTATAATGCACCCTCAGAATATATCTTAGTTAAAAACTGTGACAAACATTATAAAGAAACTACCATTTATTGGAAGTGAAAAGATATATTCAAATACACTGTTAGTTGAAAAGATTTCAAATATGGAAGATTCTGTAAAATACAATTCAATAGCATACAGAAAAGGATGAGGAATATTGGTTGCTGCTTTTCAATGCTAGGCGTAGACATGAGGCTGGCATGACTAGCTAGGCATTCCACTTTCGCATAGGGGCAATGTTAACTGGCATAAAACAAATGTGGTCTGCTCTAAACCTCCATCTCTACAACCTCCATCAGCTTAGAGTGAGAGGTGAGGGGATGGCCAGAGTACACTGAGGTGCAGTGACCCCCAGATGAGCAGCTTTCTGTGTGTGTGGTTCTTAAATGAATGATGAACCTTACTTGCTTGGGTGTAGGAGTCAGGACAGACACTTGAAGGTGTGGGGGGCTCAGGACAGGAGGCCGCAAGTTGGGGAGGTGAGGGAGTCAGGGTTGCAGGTTGAGGAAGGGCTCAGGGTAGGTGGATGGGGATATGAGGGTGGGGTGGGAGTAAGGGTGATGAGGGTGAAGGGCAGGGGGTGGGGAGTGCAGGAGTCAGAGCAGGGAATGAGGATGGGCTAAGGGCAGAGGGTTGGGAGGAAGGGAAGCTCAGGGGAGAGTGTGGGAGGCTTAGGGTAGGGGGTGAGAGACTCAGAAGAAGGAGGAAGGGTGGCTGCCAACTTTTTGCTGGGGGTAGCCTGGGGTGGTGGGGCTATGCACCATGCCTCCTGGCTTATCCCTGGGACAGGGGGTCCACACACCCCACTGGCCTGAGGCGGAGGGGAAGGGGAATGCACCTCAGCCCCTGGCCCAGCCACCAGCAGTCCCCGGGCCCAGCCCATGGGCAAGAGGTAGATCACGCTGGCTGCCTGTTGGTACTTGCCAGAGCCAACCCAGGGAGGCGGGAGCCATGCAGCAGCCAGTAGATGCTCCCTGAGGCAGGCCATGGTGGCGGGTGCTGCCAGGGTTAGGGTCAGGGTTATGCATGAGTATAATTGTTCCAGCCATCACACCTCTATCTTTCTGTATGATATAAAACTATCACATTCCACGCACTTCCCATTATCCTGCCACAAAATTGGTGGTCCTAGCTCTTACTGTTTAGAAGGAGTTCAAGAACAAATGGACTTACAGACGGACAGACCCACAGACTGAGAGATAGATGCACGTTTCTAAAATATATAGATTGCTTAAGTCTTTGTCATCCTGGATCTGACTTCACAGCTTAGGACTAGCCTGTCATGTTCCTTTTCTCTTATGCCATATCACCTACCCAAAGCTTGGGGAGGGAGGACAATGGGAGACCAATCTTCCAGCTTTAAACGTTGAAAAAGTAAGTCTACTTGCACGTGCATGGTATTCTGTTGGCCAGGTGTAGCTAGGTTCTAGCCCATTTGCATTAGCTGAGTGGCATAAAGACAAAAGATGGTAAAATAGATTCTAATGCTGTTTCTCTCTCTGTTCAGTCTCCTCTCTGTTCCTTTTCACAGTATGCCTCCCGTTGATGTGACAGCCTCCTACTCTAGAGCTCCTTCTTCTTCTTTTTGATCAAACTTTCATCTGAAAGTATTTCCTTGCTTTCTTTAGCTATGTAAAGCGTGAGGGGTCAGGATCAATTTCAATACACTTAATGAATCAAAAATTCAGTTATAGAGCCACGTGTACCTCTTGAAAATATATATTTTTACTGTTTCCAGAGCCATGTACAATTATTCCAGAAGATATGGAGAAAAACAATATTCATCTGAAATGGACCTGGAAAACAAAATTGTATTTAGAAAGTGGAGACTTTGCTGAATTTGAGTGTAAAAATGAATATGTGAGGGAACCAACATCTTCTGCATTTAGAGTACAGTGTATGGAAGGAAAATTGGCATATCCTAAGTGCAAGAGAATAGGTAAGAAATCTCCAATATTCACCAATCAATGGACTAAAAGATTCATTAATTTTGGGGGGGGGATTTCAGTTTTAATAAATACAAAGACATTATTATGATGGGTACCATAGGACATGTGGGAAATCAAGATTCTTGACCCAGATAATTTGCAATCTCATTGGAAAAGACAGATTGTGGGTTAAAGGGATTCACTGTTTACTTTTCTTGTGAGTTATATTGACCTGGGACAATTTCTCTGACATCTGGTAATCTTCAGGTTACTAGCAGAGGAGAAAAGTTTTGCATATGCTTCTGTCTTACCTAAATTCTTTGGCTGGCCCAATTTCTCATTCTGGAAGATGGTTTTCACTGTGATGTGCACTCATTTGCTTTCTCTCTGAACTTGATTCTTTAACTCCGTTAGTCATGGAATTATAGAATCTTAGAATTACAGGACTGGAAGAGACCTCAGAGGTCCAGCCTTCTGTCCAAAGCAAGACCAATCCCAATTAAATCATCCCAGCCAGAACTTTCTCAAGCCAAGACTTAAAAACTTCTAGGGATGGAGATTCCACCCACCCCAGGTAACCCACTCATGTGCTTCACCGCCCTCCTAGTGAAATAGTTTTTCCTAATATCTAACCTAGACCTCCCGCACTGTAACTTGAGACCATTGTTCCTTGTTCTGCCATCTGTCACTACTGAGAACAGCCTCTCTCCATCCTTTTTGGGACCTCCCTTCAGGAAGTTGAAGGCTGCTATCAAATTCCCCCCTCACTTTTCTCTTCTGTAGACTAAATAAGCCCAAATCCCTCAGCTTCTCCTCCATGTGCTCCAGCCTCCTAATCATTTTGGTTTCCCTCTGCTGACCCCTAAGGGGAGGGGGGGGGGCAGAATTGGATGCAATACTCCAGATATGACCTCACCAATGCTGAATAAAGGGGAATAATCACTTCCATAGATCTGCTGGCAATGCTCCTCCTAATACACCCTAATATGCCATTAGCCTTCTTGGCTACAAGGGCACAGTGATTAATCATATCCAGCTTCTCACCCACTGTAATCCCCAGGTCCTTTTCTGCAGAACTACTACTTAGCCGTTTGGTCCCCAGTCTGTAGAAATGCTATTCACCTGATGAATCAACTACTTTCTGCAAGCTCTCATAAAAGTGATCGTTATCTGTGTTATTTGTTGTCAGAGTTAGTTAGTAGGAACTGACAATGTTGATGTAGCCTGATTCAGTGAATAGTTGAAGAGTCATAATGCATTCGGATTCAGCACTAGACATGTCTATTGACTTGAGCAGCAAGTTGCAAAGGGGGAAACCAACTCCATGCAAGCATTTCTCAACACTATGTTTTCCTTGACAAAACAAGGGGAACTCTCTTATGGATCCAGAATCTGCAAGTCTATTCTCTTGAAGGGCAGCAATATCAATGTTCAGCCTGATGTATTGTTGCTCTATTAGCACAGATTTTCTGATGATTATGGTCATATCATCGGAATTGTTATTAAGTCCAGGACACATGACTCTTATGTTCTACATTCCAGTCTGAAATCTGAGGTTTTTCTATTACTGCTAGGCATGTGATTTCATCTGCTTTTTGACCTTTGGTCTAGTCTCATGCTCCCAATGAGACGGGCAGATGTGGCAGGTCAACACCTAACTGTCCTGGGGCTACTCAGCTTAAGGCAGTGGTAGTTGACCAGTGGAGTGCAATGACTCCTCCCACCATCGAAAGTGACCCCTGGCATCTTCCTCTTCACCAATTTAGGAAGGCTTATAACCCGTATCTGCCACTTTCTGTTATGACCATGCTTGACAGCAAGGATGAAGTGTCCTCTCAATATTGTCTTCTGCTGCATTGCCTGGGCAAATAATATGGAGATTGTGCATTGCCCAAGGACACTATCCCCCTTTTGATCCTTCCAGTTAAGCCCAAAGGAAAGACAAAAGCCTACACATTTGGAACTGGACTGATTGTAGGAGATGCCGGAAAACAGAGTGGACATGTCCTTCCTGCTAACTGCCTTAGGGTCTCCATTCCTTATTTTCTGTTTGAGTTTACTCCTGTAGCCTTTGAGTCTCCCAGAACTATTCACAAGGCAGTGAGAGATTTTCTACCAGGGGTTTCTTTCCTTAGCCTTACACCCTCCTGGGCTAACCCACAAAGCAGTAGGGGTGGCAACCTTATTTAATGGCAGGCTACACTCTCCATGTCACAACGCCATCATTGGGAACATGTGATTTTTTTATCAGTACAATGGACGCCAACCGATGTCCCATCACACCGTGGTCACATTGCCACTGTTGGTCTGCAGCTGCATATTAGCACAATGAGATGTTCGTATTTTTCAGCAGAGAGGCCGCCTCCTATCTGCCACCTGGAGACATGCCAGGTGGCAGACAGCTCTGCTTTCCCATTACCAGCGACCCCGGAATGAGGTAACTGGCTCTGTTTATATGGGAAAGTCGGTGGATATGATATAAATTGACATTAGCAAAGCTTTAGATCCAGTCTCCCACAATATTCTTGACAGAAAGCTAAAGAAGTATGGATTGGATAGATGGATAGAAAGCTGGCTAGACTGTTAGGCCCAACAGGTAGTGATTAACAGGTGGGCCATCAGTTTCTAGAGGAATGCCCCAAGAATCAGTTCTGGGACTGGTTTTGTTTAACACCTTTATTAATGACCTGGATGAGAGGATGGATTGCACCCTCAGCAAGTTTGTGGATGACACTAAGCTAGGGGGAGAGGTAGCTACACTGGAGGGCAGGGATAGGGTCCAGAGTGACCTGGACAGATTAGAGGACTGGGCCAAAAGAAATTTGATGAGGTTCAACAAAGACAAATGCAGGGTCCTGCACTTGGGATGGAAGAATCCGAAGCATTGCTACAGGCTGGAGACCAAATGGCTAAGTAGCAGTTTGGCAGAAAAGGATTTGGGGATTACAGTAGATGAGAAGCTGGATATGAGTCAACAGTGTGCCCTGGTAGCCAAGAAGGCTAATGACATATTAGGAGGAACATTGCCAGCCAATCTATGGAAGCGATTATTTCCCTTTATTCAACTCTGATGAGACCACATCTGGAGTATTGTATCCAATTTTGCCCTCCTCCCCCAACATAGAAAGGATGTGGACGCATTGGAGAGGGTCCAGCAGAGGGCAATCAAAATGATTAGGGGGCTGGAGCACATGACCTATGAGGAGGGGCTGAAGTCTTTGGATTTGTTTAGCCTGCAGAAGAGAAAAGTCGGGGGGTGGGGTGGGTGATTTGATAGCAGCCTTCAACTTCCTGACGGGAGGTTCCAAAGTGGATGGAGAAAGGCTGTTCTCAGTAGTGATGATGGCAGAACAAGGAGCAATGGTCTCAAGTGGGGGAGGTCTAGGTTGGATATTAGGAAAAACTATTTCACTAGAAGGGTGGCAAGCACTAGAATGGGTTACCTAGGAAGGTGGTGGAATCTTTTTAAGTCTCAGCTTGACAAACCCCTAACTGGAATGATTTAGTTGGGGTTGGTCCTGCTTTGGGCAGGGAGCTAGACTTGATGACCTTCTGAGGTCTCTTCCCGACCTATGATTCTATGATTCTTTCCTTTTCTTTTCAAATCTTATCTGAGAACATTTTCTGCTTTTTGCTACTTAAGTAAATAATTTGGACCCGGGTTAGTCTCAATACATGTAGTCAATTGTATATCCATTGAGTTGAAATTTCATATTTCTGTTTCCAGAACGATGCATAACATCCCCAGAAGAAATGGAGACAAACAATATTGGTCTGAAATGGATTTCAGAAACAAGACTAAATTTAGAAATTGGAGACTTTGTTGAATTTGAGTGTAAAAATGGATATAGAAGGGATCCAACATCTTCTGAATTTAGAGTACAGTGTATGGAGGGGAAATTGGCATATCCTAAGTGTAAAAGAAAAGGTAAGAAATCTGCAGTGAAACTACAATATTGGCGAGTCACTTGACGGAAAGATTTCTCAGTTTAAAAAATAAAATAGCATCACTGTGTCAGATGCAACATAAACATATGGGAAATCATAGCTTCTGAACCAGACTACTTGCAATCTGAATAGAGAAGACAAATAGTATGTTAAAGAGATATAGCTAACACACAAAATACCCACTATATTACTTGAGTTGGTACAATTTTCCTCTTACATCTGATCCTCTTTACATTATCATCAAGGCAGAATAATTTTGTAAGTGTTCTTGTCTTACCTAAATTCTCTGCCTGGCCCTATTCCTCATTCAAGCCACTGATTTCTATAGCACTGTGGATGCATTTGCTCTCCCTCTAAGGCTGATTCTTTAGCTCAGGGGTTGACAATAATTTTTGATGGGGGGCCACTCCAAGATTTTGGAAAGTGGTCAAGGTCCGCACTCTTCTGTGATATTAGTGGAGGAGGTGTAGGGACTGGGATGGAGATTGGGTACAGAAGGGATCTTGGGCTATGGGATTAGGATGCAGGAGAGAGTGTGGGGTCTGAGATGGAGTTTGGGTGAAGGTGATTGTGACCTGGGGCACTGGACTGGGGTGCAGGTTCTGAGTTGTGACCTACGGCAGGAGGGTATTGTGAACTGAGGTAGGAGACTGAGATGCAGAAGGGGGTGCAGGTGTTTGGGTTGTGACCTTGTGCAGGGTATTGAGGTGCAGGATCTGGGAGGAGGCATGGGTTCAGGAGGGGGCAGAGAGGTAAGCTTTGATAAGGAGACTTATCTGGGCAACTCCTGGCTAACAGCCCAGCAGGGATCTCAAGCAGCTTCTCTGCCTGCCCCACCCCACACAGGCTGCAGGGGCCATGTGAGCTGGTGACTAAGACCCCGAGGAGGACTAAGACCCCGAGGGGCCATGTGAGCTGGTGACTAAGACCCCAAGGAGGAAGAGGGTGCTTGTTGTGCTGCAGGTTCTTAAAACAGGCAGCTCTCATTGACCAGAAATTGGCTAATGGGATTGTGCTTGGGACGGGAGCATCCCAAGAAGCACCCACTCCCCCCAGGCTCACAGCTGAGAGAGACAAATAGCTGTGGCAGCCATTTTGCTGAGCAGTGTAGGGGTGGGGATACAGGGCAAGCATGGAAACTCCCTGAGACTGCCCACTGAGTTCATGGGCCAGTTCCAGTGGCTGGAGAGGCTGGAATTTTGTCCTGCGCTGCTTAGCTCCTTCAGTACCTGTTGGAGCTCATCACTGTGAAGAAGCTCCGTATTGGGGAAAGTTTCCTGATCTTTATGAATTCCTGGGAAACCATCTCTCCATGAAGAGCAGTTGCTGATCATCTATTTTATCTGTCTTGCCATTCTGCACTGTGAGAGTTGCAGCTGGACTTCTCTGTCTGCCTGTTGCAGTTACTGCCCCGACAAATGATTTATGTCAATGGCAAGTTATGACTCTCACCTTTATTGGTAACCACAAAATGTTGCTTTAATTTCTTTTGTGGAGTCCCTGGATTCCTTGCAGCTTGTGACTCAGCTCTGCCAATTAATCCCTAGCTCTGGTGTTGATCCATACCTAAGGGCAGGAGTGTGTATTTAAGCTGGGTTTGTGTGAGTCATAGTCGTGCTTTGCTCCTGAATTTCCTCCCCACCGATAACACCACAACCAATGTTTTCACTAATCTTTCCATCCATGTGCAGATATTTTTCCAGTCACGTGTATAATACATTAGATATGGTGGACCACAAGTACAAATAATTTTTAAAAAAGAGCTGAGGGCACATTGTTAGTCATCTGGTCCACATTTAAATTTCTCAGAAATGGCTGCACAAATGCACAGCTTCCTGGGGCACTGAGGCCCTAGTTGCATCCCCTGGAAATGGGAAGGAGTGGGATTGTGATTCGGTGCACAGGATAGCAGTGCTGATCAGATCTGGCCCAGTCAACATGCAATCAGGCCACACTGCAGGTTCCCCTTCCTTTGAATTCAAAGCCTGTATCTAGGCAACTCCTTGCATCATCTGAATGACACAGAGGGGGCAGAGTGTAAAACAGAAACACCTGTGGGGTTCTTCCAGTGCTCATTTAGTCCTAGCACCCGAGAGACTTTCTGTTATACAGTACGACTATTGCTTTTTGTAAAGCTTCCTTCCCTCGACTTCTTGTGCTTTTCCTAGCAGTGACCCAATAGGTGCTTCACTCTAGGTGCATGTAACAGGGTGAGCCTGTTGTTAACTATTTTTTTCTCCACCTCTGGGTATTAGGACCCATGTCCCTCCTACAATGTGGCACCCTTCCCTCTGGGTACTGCCCTTCCTCACTGCCCCCACACTGTGGGGTCCTCGCCCTCTGGGCACCTGCAACCCCCTATGCTCACCCAGCCTCAGTGACCCTCTGCCATCCCTCCATCCCTAGAGTTCCTCTTTGTTTTCTCATCCTTAACAACTTTCCTTTTCTTTTCAAATTGTATCTGAAAGTATTTCCCTGTTTTTGTTACCATGAGGCAAACTGAGGCGACTGCCTCGGGTGCCAGACTGTGGGAGGGCGGCACTAGCACCCAGAGGGTAGAAAATTGTATCTGCTGCTGGTGCATATGTATTCTCTCTGCTTTAGATGCACAGAGGTGGCGGAGTGCTGTGCTGGAGGAATTGAGACCTTTCAAAGTTTTGGCCCAAGCGAGAGGGAATGGGGGTGTCATTTGAGCTCCCTGCCTCAGGTGCCAAAATGTTGTGGGCCGGTCCTGTTTGTTACCTATGTAAATTATGGAGATCCATCAATACATGTAGTGCATCAGATATCTAATGACATGTCCATAGGTACATACTAAAATTACATATTTCTATTCACAGAATTTTGCATAACATCCACAGAAGAAATGGAGAAAAACAATATTGGTCTGAAATGGACCCCAGAAAAAATACTAAACTTAGAAATTGGAGACTTTGTTGAATTTGAGTGTAAAAATGGATTTAGGAGGGATCCAACATCTTCTGAATTTAGAGTACAGTGTGTGGAGGGAAAATTGGCAGGTCCTAAATGTAAGAGAAAAGGTAAGGAATCTCCAATATTAGTTACCGGTAATCACTAGACTAAAAGATTTCTTACGTTTTATTGAGGAATTTCCACTTTAAAAAATTAGAAGGGCACCACTATGATGGGTGCTATAGAAACATGTGGATAGTCATGGTTGCTGACCCAGTCTACTTACAGTCTGAATTATGAAGATAACATGTGAGTTAAACACATAGAGCTGTCAAATAAAAGTGTAAGAGAAAAGGTAAGGAATCTGCAGTTAAACTACAATATTGGGGCATCACCTTACTAAAAGATTTCTCAGTTTAAAAAATAAAAGTTTTTTGTAAAGCTTCCTTTTCTCAAATCCTTGTTCTTTTCCTTGCAATGTCCCAATAACTGCTTCCCTCTAGGTGCATGTGGCAAGCCTAACCATCATAGTCACCTCCTGCTGGACACTCAGGGAATTAGCTTTTCAATGCCGGACCGCCCCCTTTCAGCTGGTGTCTTGCCCACTGTTACCTATTTTTTCTCCACCTCTGTGTATTAGGACCCACATCTCTCCTAGAATGTGGCACTGCCCTCCTGCACTGCCCCCACACTCCTGGGTCTTTGTCTTCTGGGCACCCCCAGCCTCCTATGCCTACCTTGCCTCAGTGCCCCACTGCCAGTCTTCATCTAGTCCCTGCTACAAGGGCAAACTGCCATCTGAAATGGCCACTCATCACTGGCAAGGGGGTGTGGACCTTCTGCCCTGGCTACCTCGACTGCCTCTCTGCAGTCCTCATTCCCTCAGACCTTGCTTTAGGCCCTCCAGCCTGGGAGCTTGCCTGGCCAGAGCTTCCCCAGCTCTGCCTGCCTTTCTCCAGCACTGCTCTACATCAAAAGCATCTAGATTCTCTAGCAGCCAGGTACATCCCACTGCACTGCTGCTAGAGCAAGAGTGAGTCTGTCTTCTCCCCTCCAGGAGCCTTTATTTATACTGCCCACTGCTGGGCCCTGAGTGGCTCAGACCTACCACAGCTGCTGGCTCTACAGCTCTGCCACTCCAGGCCTCTCCCAGGGCTGGGCTTTAACTCTTAAAGAGCCAGTTCTGATCAGTGCCCCTTCACAGCACACTTGTGCCCCTTGCTCTTCTGATCGGAGGTGTCACATAGAAGTGTCTGTTCAGCATGTGCATGCATCTTTTTGCACTACTTCCTGTACCCTACTCTAGTTATCTAGCACTGCACAAGCAAATTGTCCTTGATACCTTCTCAAGTAACAGAAAGTATCTTTCCGCATGGGGAATATTCTGTTGGCCAGTGATGGCTAAGTTCTGGCCCATCTTCATCAACTGAGTGACACAAAGGGGCAAATTGTAAAATAGATTCTAACTCAGTAAAATTTTGTTTCTAGTTCCAGTCTCCTCTCTGTTCCTACCTACAGTGAGACTCAGTTATTGAGAGAGCTTCTGTCTCTAGAGCTCCTTCTTATTTTCTCATCCTTACCATCTTTCCTTTTCTTTTCAAATTGTATCTGAATGTATTTCCCTGTTTTTGTTAGCTATGTAAATCATTGGGATCCATCAATACATGTAGTGCATCAAATATCTAATGACACGTCCATAGGTACATACTAAAATTACATATTTCTATTTGCAGAATTTTGCAGAACATCCCCAGAAGAAATGGAGAAAAACAATATTGGTCTGAAATGGACCCCGGAAAAAAGACTGAACTTAGAAATTGGAGACTTTGTTGAATTTGAGTGTAAAAATGGATATAAGAAGGATCCAACATCTTCTGAATTTAGAGTACAGTGTGTGGAAGGAAAGCTGGCATATCCTAAGTGTAAGAGAAAAGGTAAGAAATCTCTAATATTGGTTAATCACTAGACTAACCAATTAAGTTAGTCTTAAGGTTTCTTAGATTTTATTGGGGAATTTCCATTTAGAAAAAGTACAAGGGCACCACTATGATGGGTGCTATAGAAGCATGTGGACAGTCATGGATGCTGACCCAGTCTACTTGCAATCTGAATTATGAAGATAAATGGTGAATTAAACATGTAGGCTACGTCTAGACTGGCATGATTTTCAGCAAATGCTTTTAACGGAAAAGTTTTTCCATTAAAAGCATTTGCGAAAAAGAGCGTCTAGATTGGCATGGACGCTTTTCCGCAAAAAAGCCCTGATCGCCATTTTCGCCATCAGGGCTTTTTTGCGTAAAACAGTTTTTAGCTGTCTACACTGGCCCTCTTGTGCAAAAACATTTCCAGAAAAGGGCTTTTGCCCGAACGGGAACATCAAAACATTTGCGCAAGAAGCACTGATTTCAGACAGTAGAATGTCAGTGCTTTTGCGCAAAATCAAGCGGCCAGTGTAGACAGCTGGCAAGTCTTTCTGCAAAAGCAGTTGCTTTTGCAGAAAAACTTGCCAGTCTAGATGCAGCCATATGGGTTTTTGTCTTACCTAAGTTCTTTGGCTGGCCCAATTCTTCATTCAGGCTGCTGATGTCCATGCTGTGTACCTTCATTTCCTTTCCCTCTGAAGCTGATTTTGTAGCTTCTTCAGTTCTTGTTGGAACTATTAAGAAGATCCATTTTGGGGATCCAAGTTGGGGAAAGTTTTCATGATCTTCTTGAGTTCCTGGGAAATCTTAGAGGAGCAGATTTCTAGTCACCTACTTTATCTGTCCATTCCATACTGGGAGTGTGGGTTTCTCAATTTTCTCAATCACCTAGAGACATTGTAGTTGCTGCCCCCAACAAATATTTTATCTCAGATGACAAATCATGCCTCATACCATTGTAGGAAACCATACGATGTTAATTTCCTTTGTGAAACCTCTAAATCCTGTTTCAGGTCTTGTTTTTATTTCTTTTGACCATCTTTAATCTATTTTGGCCTGAGTGATTAGTCATTATAACAGGTTTCCATTGTGTTGTCTGTGTTAGGAACAGAAATTAGGGATAGAGACAGGTTTTCGATAAGCAAAGGATGTAAATAGTCCTGATTCTCTGAAAGCAAAGCAAACAAACATCAGGAGGCAATTTCTCTGCTCAGAGTTCCAAGTCCGCCTTCACATTTAGCATCCGTGGAAAAGCTGCTCTCCAGCTTTTCCTCAGGACCACTCTTCCAGGGCTTCTCTGGCTGTCCATTGGCTTTCTGGAAGCTTGTGACTCAGACACACACAACTCCACCAACTAATCCCTAGTTCCTGTGTTCATCGACACCTAAGAGCAGAGGCTATGAAAAGGCATTTAAAGTGTGTTTGTGTGAGACATAATTGTGCTTTCCTCCTGAATCTGCTCTTCCTAGGATCCCCACTAGTATCACCACAACTAGCAGTTTAACTGCCATTGACCATAAGCCCCTAGTGTCATCCCATCCAAATTTGAGGCAGTAGTGTTGTGTCTGGACCATAGGGTAACTGAGCAGTGCTAATAAGCTCTGGCCCTGTCAAACTGCAATTAGGCCACAGTTCAGGTCCCTCTACCTGTGAATTCATATCTCAGGCCTAGGCAACTCCTTGAATCAGTTCAGTGACATGCAGGGGCCAGACTGTAAAACAGAATCAGGCTGTAGTGGTCTCCTGTGCTCATGGGGCCCCAGCTTCCAAGAGATGGTTCCTTTACAGAATGTGACCACTCTTTTGAAATTTCCCTTCTCTCAAATTCCTTCTTGTTCTTCTTCTAGTAGTGCCCAATGGGTGCAGTGGCACCATTTAAGATTTTGGTGTGTGTATAAGGGGCTGTGGTTTCTGAGACTATTTTCTAATATGTCAGTTGTCCACAGTAACTTCAAAATTAGTCCCAAATAGCCAATCTATTTATTTAAACACTTTATTCACATTACTGTCGATGCATTTTAAAAGAATGACTCTGTAGTATAGAATTAAATCTTGGATGTTAGTAGCAGAGATCCATAACAAACAAATTTTGGCAGCCAAATCATACAAATTGTTCAGATTGGCTTAGTTTTATGTTCATTAAAAAAACTTTAAAAAGAACAAATGGCCTTGCAACACCTTAGGGTACATATGCACAGCAGCATTATTTGAGATTACTAACATTATTTCAAAATAGAAAAAGTGCACGTCTACACAGCAAGCCAGCATTTCAAAATATTTTCAAGATGTCAGACTTCTTACCCTGGGGAGTGGTGGAGAGCTCGCTGCCAGTGGCTTGCTGGCTC